GTCATCTACAACATACAGTGTAAGGACTATAACAACCACTATGTAGGACAGACAGGCAGAATAGCGCATCTATGAACACCAACCAGCAGTCAGAAGACACAATGAAAACTCCTTAATCTCACAACACATGGATAGATTTAACCATAGTTTCAGCTAGGAAACTGTCAGCATCTTAGACCCAGCTAAATCCAAAAACAAGAGGGAAGTTTGGTATTCAGAGATGAACACCAACCAGCAGTCAGAAGACACAATGAAAACTCCTTAATCTCACAACACATGGATAGATTTAACCATAGTTTCAGCTAGGAAACTGTCAGCATCTTAGACCCAGCTAAATCCAAAAACAAGAGGGAAGTTTGGTATTCAGAGAAATCAGCCATCAACAGGCACATAGAGATAAACAACGTCTACACACTATTCAAAAGAGACAATAAAAAGGAAACAAAAAGACTCCTTGCTGGCAATCAACACCCAGATAAGCAGAGATTAACACTAGGATTAACACCAGACAAACAATCAAACAGTAAACAATATCCTAATCAAGGAACTGTCAACTCAAACAAGCAGTAAACAACAGCCTAATCAAGGAACTACCAAGGAGAAAACAACACCCTCACAAACACTGACAGGGCAAGCCACTGTATATAAACAGAAAGCAAAGCCCATTCCCTTCTAGCACTGAAGATGTTACCTAGCCTACCTAGCCAGGTAACGGAATGTCTGCAAGAAAACAACCAAGCTCAGTGTTTCAGTAATGGTATCTGCACAAGAGCTATGATGTTTTGTACACAGTGCAGAGTTTATGTAAGTCAGCTATGTCCTGTCTGGTCTGCTTTAATACCATAGCATGCATACATGCATGCATGCATGCAGTAGTGTAAATTTGTTTTGTTTGTTAACTCTGACAGTGATTAAGCCATCTTTCTAAACATCTTCATGACCACTGGTGGTTTGCAGAAAATATCCCACTTCCAGCCTTTGTAAAATAATATTAACGAAATTCTGCAAACCAAAAGAATTATTATCCTGTGCAGTAGTATTCTGGATATATTATTCAACTAAGTTCACACCTAGTACAATCCACGCAAGGCATAAATCTGGTCCATTTTACTTTATATCAGTGCTGCCTAATGGTCCCTTTTAAATTCCTTAGTGGTCAGTGGTGCTTTGTTTAGATATTTCAGAACATTTAAGTCCATTTGTAATCTTTTCTTAGGGATTAGCTAGAACAGTTTTCTTTCACTTTAAAGGAGACTGTAACTTGAATATTTTAAAAGATACTAAACAAAATTAGTCTTGTAGTCTGATAAGTCTTTGGAAAAGCTCAATCTGCCTGACAAAACATTGTTTTCTGAGATTAAAAAAAAAGGCTAATTACTGTTGTGAATGATAAGATGAAAACTCTGACATTTGCAGCCCGAGCTCAAGCAAGAATGCACATCTTCTCATCTCAGACATTGTCAGCCCTTTGAGGTAGTCCAGACAAGAAGCACACCCAGAGGTACTAGCTCTATCTTTCTTGGAAGGTTATATTAACAGAATCTTGCAAGTCTGAAAGTACATCTCTTCCCCCTCACCTTTACAGTTCAAGAAACTAGGGAGGGTCCCTTCTGAGATGTCTGCCACATCACCATTCCATCTGCAGGCTCAGCTACCTCTTATCTGATCATTGTCTAGGCTGTGCTCTTCCTCCTGTCTCCCAAAGTCATTTCCAGATACCATTACAGACATGGAACCTACATTTTGTAGACAGATATTTCATGTAGACAGAGAGATATTCCCAGCTGTAATTCTTTGCTATAAAGAGGAAAATTAAGAGTCCTTTAAAATCAAGCAGAAGTTGCTGAATGGAAGCTGGAGAACAAATGGGGTGTACCATTTGCCCAAATAGTCTCTTATAAATAGCTGGATGGTCCAGGAAACTGAAAAGACCAGGTAACTTGAAACAGCAGGAAAATATGTTTAAAGTATCTTCTACTTTTGTAGGAATGGATAAAAATTAACAAGAATTTTGTGCTAGATTGTCAGTTTGCTTTTCCTGTGTGGTACGAATTGTCTGTATTTCTCTGTATAAATTATAGGATTTCCTTTCAAGTTGTGTGCACAACTTATGTAGAATTCTTGTCTAACAATATTTTGAGATATTTTCTGAGATTCTGGCTGGAAATGAGTCATGGTGGGTGGCAGCAGGAATTACTAACATGCTGTCACAGTGCAGGGCCAGGGTGTGAAGATCTAGAAGGCTTCTGGTAGGAGGCTTAACATTTCCAGGTTTCTGCCTGGAGACTTGAAAGTTCCACTACAATTGCACAGAAGCATAACATTTTCTAGTCCACCAGATGCATTTAAAATGATTTACCTTTTAAAGTTAAATGTATTTATGTATTTCACGTTTTGGAGGAGCACATAGTATACCATATAGGCAGGATAACTTAGAGTAGTAAAGAACCATTACAAATGAATAAAGAGTAATAAAAAAATACATGTGTTGAGTAGAGGTTTTTTCCCCATTGTGTGTCTAGACACAATCATGTTTTATTGTGTATTACAAATCATAACATTTGTAATTGTAAGCAGTTGTATCCAAGACAAAGCTGTCATAGCTAAGTAATGTATAAGACATATTAATGGGAAAGAATCTTTGTTAAGAACCTACTATTGTATTTGTGTAGTCTGAAGAACTTAGCTTTATGCTAGAGTAATGATCAGTCTGAGGAAATGCCATGAGGTCTTTTTGTCTCCTCTGAAAAATAGGTCTGTTTTGCCTCAGGAGAAGGCTGTGGGAATAATAGTCACTAAAGTGGCTCAGTGACAATTCTTAGCAAGAATTTTGCCATTTTATTTTCAGTTCAGCATGAAAATAAAAGATGCTGTTAGCGTATGTTTAGTAAATTCCTGCTGAACTTCATGTGACCCCTTTATAGGTTATTTACAGTTTTGTCATTTTAAAAAATCCTCCACAACATTTTCTCATGAAAGAGCAAATGTGAAACATGGAAAATAATGTGTTTACAAAGATTTGTCTCATTAAATTTTACAATTGGTAGCTCTTGATCCCTTTTTCAAGGTCTACATATAATAAATGTCCATACTAGTACTAGATACTTTTTTGTTCTGTATGTGTGTGTACATAATAAAGCACCAAGAAGTGCAGAGTTCAAGAAGTGCAGAGATAACTATATCAGATGCTTCAAAAATTGTTTGGACTGCTAATACATAGTAGCACAACTATGTTTTTAATTTTTTAAAAACTTTATTTTCTTACATTCAGATTCTCCATTTTCTATAGGAACTTAAGGTGTCATTTTTATCATCACTACAACCATGGAGGTAGGTTAGTTTGAGAAAGAGTGACTAGCTCATGTTTTCAGAGAGGAAATGGGGCATTGTTGATTCACATCAGGTAGCAAAAAAATCCATAAAGAAAGTCAGCAAGGAAACAGATTTCAAGATGTATCTGTATATTTCCTGCTTAAAACTTCACTCTATATTTGCTTAAAAATGGTCTTTTAACATGTCCCATCATCTGTTTTGTTGCAATAAAACTTGTAAGACTGCTTTTGCATTTTTTTTAAAAAAGTCCAACTTTTAAAATTATAATAATTGATATAAAATATTTTTTTTCCTCTCAATTTTAAGACGAAAATTGAGCAATTCATTTTGCCACTGAATCATAATAAATACAAGGGAGAATATTTTGCCAAGGAAGCCCCTATAACCTTGCTTTCTGTTTTCTGCACAGCATGTGATAGTTACCACTGGGGACCCCATTGCAGTAGTCGCTGCCAGTGTAAAAATGGAGCTTTGTGTAATCCCATCACTGGAGCCTGCCACTGTACTGCAGGATTCAAGGGATGGCGCTGTGAGGAACATTGTGACCAAGACACATATGGAAATGATTGCCACCAAAAATGCCAGTGTCAGCATGGAGCCACCTGTGATCACGTCACTGGAGAATGCAGATGTCCCCCTGGATATACTGGAGCTTTGTATGCAGTTAATATATTGGTTATGTGTGGAGTGTTAGTGGATTTAACAATTATTTTTCCTTTTACAAGAAAGTGCTTAAGGAAGATGGCAATATTGTCCTCATGCTATGGTTATTACTCTAGTGATGACAGAAAAATAATTTACATTCTGTGAATAATTTTACTGGGATTTGAAATGGTCTCTCAGATCCAAATCCAATATGCTAACTCATGGATAAGTAATAAGCAACAGAATTATGATAAATTTGGAACTGTATTTTAATATTTTGAAGAGTATTCAATGTATATAATATATTATTTTCCTTGTTGCTTTTATTAATGCTTGGTTCCTTTTATTATATGCAAGCCATGTTGGATGGCTTTTTGTCCTTAGGCAGCCTAGAAATCGTTTAAATAGAATCCAGCTGAACCTTCAAGACTAACCAGTATATTGAAACTTAATAGTTCATGGTTCAGAGCCCATTGGATGAGATGTGGGAGGATCCCATTTCATGCATCTGACACAGTGAACTCTGGTTTACATAAGCTCCTGCCACAATGTGTGTTCTCAGGGTATTTTTCACAATAATAGAAATATTATGACAGTAAATATGAGTAATGCAGTAGTCAGCACAGTATTCCCTGGTGCCCTGGTGATAGTGTATATTGCACCAGGGAAATGCAAATTCACATTCCTGCTCCATTATGACCTAGAATCAATCACAATCACAATTATTTTCATCTTACTATTTTATCACAATTAAATAGATGTGAGTGGAGAGTTGCTTGGAGTTGCTTTGAGAAAAGGTGAGATAAAAGTATAATGAATTGCTCTGCAGCCTCCCAGTATGCCTGTTCCTGCCAAAAGTTCCTTTAAAATTGTCTAGTAGATCCCAGAGTAGAATACAGGGAAGGTAGCATCTTTTCCCAAAGCAATCCAGTGAATGAACATTTTAGCAACTCATCTGAACAAAACATTTTATATGGCATACTGAAAAGGCAAAAACAAAGGCAGTGATCAGATTTTTTTTTAAAAGGAATAGTTAATTGTAAATAGAGAAAGCAGGATCATAAACTGCTTTTGTATATAACTTATTTTAACTTTGTATAATAAATACATTTGATTGCTGGAGGCCTAAATCCACTGTTTGCCATGGATGTAAGAAGTACAAGAACATTAACTAGGTAATTGTGTACCATACATAGCAACAATATACAATCTCGGTGTCAAGCCTAGTATGTTGCCACAAAATTGAGCAGAATTCAGGACAGAATTTGGAAAATATTTAATCAGAAGTAGATAAAGGATTCTTTTAAAAATAGCAAATACATTGAAACTTTTAACATGAAAGCTTTTTTGACTGGATTAGAAATTCCTGTAAAGATTTTTGTGGATTATTGCAATAATCTGTTGGCATTTATAAATACAGGAACTTTCTTAAGTATAGAAATTATTTGCATAATATCCCTTTGGGTTTACAGATTAATAACCGTAACCCTATTAAAAACATAAATATCTTATCATTTCTCTTATAGTTAACCACTCTGTGTGTGTGTGTTTGCTTTATTTTTAGCTGTGAGGATCTTTGTCCACCTGGCAAGCATGGACCACAGTGTGAAGAAAGATGCCCATGCCAGAATGGAGGAGTATGTCATCATGTAACAGGAGAGTGTGCCTGTCCTCCTGGATGGATGGTAGCTATCATTTCTATAAATTTTTATCACTTTAGACTCTGATGAAAATTTATTTTGACTTATAACCTGAGACCAGGCAGGAAGAGAGGGAATGTCTTAGCATACCACAAAGAATTAAAACCAAGTCATTAAAAACATATACGTTCAATAGCCTAATCTATAACCAATAGTGGTGAAAGGAAGCCCAAGTTCAGGTTCACCTCAGTCATGGAAGCTCTCCGAGTGATTCTGGGAGAGTTATTCCCACTAATGTGAAATTGTTTCACAGTATCATTCTTGGGAAAATTAGGTCTCATACTGCACTCACAAATAAACACATACCAAATAAAAATATTAAATACCAAAATACTAGTGAGTAGGAAACAAAAGTACATAGGGATCTGTCCTGTATATCTGTATAGGAATCTGTACAGGAAAAGTACATAGGAATCTGTCCTATATAGGATGCCCTGTATAGGATGATCAGTGAAAACTCCCCCAAGATGGAGACTGGCACGTTGACATTTTCAGACAAATCAAGCAGCAACATGATAGAAAAAGAATAAGAATTTTACAAATTAGTCTCTATAATCCATTGCAGTAGGCAGAAGTTTATGGTGATTGCATTGGGTTGGGAGTTGTACTTCTTTAAAGACAGCTTTGATTGATTGATTGATTGATTGATTGATTGATTGATTATGTGCCATCAAGTTGTTTTTGACTCCTAGTGACCACATAGATGGGTTTTCTCCAAGACACTTTATCTCTAACCTGTTCTTCCAAGTCTCCCACTCATCATAACTGTAACTGAGTCCATCAGTCTTGCTGCTGGTTATCCTCTTCTTTTTCCTTTCACCTTTCCCAGCATTAGAGTCTTTTCCAAAAAGATGAGTCTCCGCAATAGCTACCTAATTTCAAAAAACTACTGACTAGGAACAACAGATACAGGAATCACTTTCTAGAGCAAATCCAGATGCCAAACCTATCTGCCATATTTTCTCTGACAACATTATTACAGGACCTAATACAATATCTACACCATTAAGGAACTTACTATTTGCCCAATATTCAGTATGTCATCATTTGTTAGCAATGCCCCACTAGACTTTTCAGTGGACTAACTGGCTAATCTCTATGCAGATAGACAAAAATGGAATCAAATCTGACATCAGAAATGCAATTCTCATTCCACTTTTGGAGGACATGCTATTGCTAACCTCAAGTTTAACTTTCTTGAGAAAGCTAAAGACCAACTGTAATGTGGAAAAGTGAAATTAAAATTCATCAGAATAATTTTTCCATATTACATAAAAACCAAGATTTTATATCATATAAATCAAATACTTCTTCAGTGCAAAAATGTTGGTCACATCAAACTGCTTTATTTATGCTCACAACAGTGTAGTAATTCTCATTAATCTCTCTTTTTACTGCATCACTGCCCACCCTGCCTCTTTTTCTCCCTTCCAACAACATACATGTGAATTATAATACTCCTGTCTCATTTTATGATCTGTGATCTATGAAAGCATATGCAGTGTTATATTTATTAGTCATAAAATGTGACAAGATTCTTTGCCATTTTTGAAAATTAGGAGTCATTTTACCACTATATATCTCTTTTTGTTTGTGTTTTGCATTTGATGTGTGAAAGGCAGAAGAAAGAGGACCCCCCCCAAAAAACCTAAATTAGAAATAATCTCACATACAAACCAAATTCCCCCATCTATAATCTGTAGCTTATAATTGTTGACCTCAGCTATATGTCCCCAGTGCTTACATTGCTGTCTAAGATTCATAGCTGCTATTCCATGCAGCCAATGTTCTTTACTAAATACCATATTATACAACCAGCCAAAGTAGTATCTGTTTTAAACTCTGTCATGCAGGATTTAAATATACATTCAGAACAAAAATAATTTAAGGTAACAAGAAGCTTTTTATGGGTATGTTTTAGGTGTTTTAATTCTAGGTTTTCTGTGCAGGAAAAAAGGGAAATAATATGTTTGAATCTGTTACTGTTGCTTAGGAATAAAATCTTGGATTAGCTTTCTTTTATGGCATAAACATTGTGACAAATTAACAGCCTAACACTTATGACAAAATGCATATAGTATTGCAAGGCTAAAAAATATCTTGCATTTTTACATTACATGCAACTGTCTCATATAAGAGTATTTTAATCTTGTTGCTTCCTTCAAAATCAGTTCAACTGCCTCGCTCATAGCTGCACTCCTATGAATAAAACTGAAATCTGTTTTCAAACAGGGCACAGTCTGTGGTCAGCCTTGCCCGGAAGGACGTTATGGAAAGAATTGCTCCCAAGAATGTCAGTGCCACAATGGAGGGACATGTGATTTAGCAACCGGTCAGTGTCATTGCAGCCCAGGGTACACAGGAGAACGGTAAGAAGAAAATACTCCAGAGCACTCTATCATCTTCATTGTGGAAAAGAGGAAAGTTGAATGAATTTACAGTATTCCGCAGACTTGAATACTGTTCCAGTCAAAACTAAGCAAAACCTGAGCTGATTCATTTTCAGTTAAGAAAGTTATTGGAATTCAGTTATATAGCTAAGTTATTTTCTTTAGCTATGCATCCATTGATAATGGTCAATTTATTATCTTATTTTTAAAAACTCTGCAATCTTTTTTGTCTTTTTTTTTTCTCATTCTGAATAGTTTGGCCACTCCACTACAAGCCAAATATGAAAAGGTTAAAAAGTATTGTCCCATTTCATTTTTTACATTTATTCCTATTTTATTGTTCTTTAATCAGTTACTGCTTTATGTGAGGAAACGAATCGTATGAAGACTCCCATAGTTGTGAACAAAGTTGTAAGCATATTTATTCCACCCATTTTTTTCCCAGTATCATCACTTCACTCCCTTCTCCCCAGTTACTATGGGACACAACAATAGAACTCTTTTGTCCTTGTAGGTGTTAGGGGCTTAGTAGCTTCTTTTTTCTTATTTTACCTTCTTCTTGATATGATACCAAGAATCATTTTCAGAGGGGAAGGAAAGAAAGTTCCGTCCCACAAGTGTTCAAATGAGCTTCATGCTAGAAATTAAATTCTTATCCTACTACTTCTCATGTATATGGGCTTTGTGCAAAAAAACTTTGCAGTGGATTTTTCTTTAGCTATTGAGTTAAAAAACGTTCTGTATTTTATAAAATCTTGCATACTATCTGTGTTGTTTGAAAAGAATGTGTAGCAGCTGGCCATAACCCTGGACTCTTTTCCTAACCTTCAATTTTCTCTGCATAACATTATTTTATGTTATAAAGAGCAACACACAGATGCCTGGGGTGTTCCTCTTTCAACTCTCACAGGAAATATCATGTTATGTAGTTTGTCCTAGTGGATTTGATTCAGAGATGGACACTTAAGTGAATAAATCCTCATATAATAAATCAAATGGTGCTTTGTGGAATAAGCATTTGCTTAGATATTATAGCAAAATTCTGTTTCACCGATCAAAATTCTGTTAGAATTTTTGGAGGTCTAATATAGAAAATTGACAAAAGAAAATGTCCTTCCTCAGACCAATCAGGAACTGTCTGCCTTAAATTTAAATATAGAATTAAAAAAAGAGCTGTACTTACATTTATTCAGACTCTCTTTCTATGTAGCTCAGTAACTGTATAGCTCAACATTAGCAGCAGCAGTATTCATTGCATTATATATGGAAATGATGTTTAGAATTACCTCAATGGGAAATCAGGAGGAACAACCTCTTGAAGGGAAAGGAACAGTATTCTAATTACTTTTTAATTACTTTTTCTGTTTAACTGATAGTCATAATTGATCTCTGAAAAAGAATCTAGAATTGCCTGACTTCCCTCAGTCACTCTAGACCAGTGTTTCTTAAACTTTTTTTCTCTCTGGACCCCTTCCCACTTTTAAAAATTATGGAGGACCCCAAAAGAGCTTTTGCTTGTTTGGGTTATATGTACTGATATTTACTGTATTAAAAATTAAAATTGACATTTTTGCTGCCCCTATTGCTTCTCATGATTATTTGATGGGATTTTAATAATATATTATTTTTCAACAAATAGCTGACAAGCTGACAAATAATTTTGATTTTGTGGACCCCTGAGAGGACCCTCAGACCACACTTAGACAAACACTGCTCTAGGCTATATCAGAGTGTCCTGTTGTATGTGATTTCTTACCACATATTCATTACTGTGGCATGTTGATGGTATGCAGAAGCTACAATACCCCAAAAGGTTTTATGAGTTAGATGATTAGGCCAAGATCAAACCTGGCCTATACATTAGGTATATTTCCTATATTTACAAAGCATATGTTCTGGCCTTCATCTAGGTTGCCTTCTTAACAGCAAAGATAAATTAAATGGGATTTGCTCATGAACTGTTCACTGGACCTGACTGATAGACACCTGTGGAGCCAACTTTTATTGTGTTAACCTCAGTTATGCTTGTTACCCTTCAACCTGGTTCCATTGTCTGAAGTTATCTATTTTTTTCTTTTGCTTTACTATATTTTAGTAAACCTATGTGGTTTGCATCTGCATGAAATATTGCAAACAGAAAAAATGGAGATGGATTTAAGATAAGATTTAAAATAAAAATTAGAATGTAAGCACAGTTCTTAAGAGCTTTATGGCTATTTGAGTTATGTCTTTTGCTGCCAAGTTTTGAGAATTGTGTGAAAACACACACACACTTTATGTCTTGTAATTGACAGTTTAGATTATTTTTTACATTTACATTATTTTCTAACTAAATGTCCCTTTTCTTAAACTGAAATGAATTATTATGGAAGATTGAAAAAATGCAGTTTAGTCCAAAAATTCTAGCTAGTGTTTGCATTACAATGATTTTACAGTAGCGGGATAACTTCATGCACATAGACTTAAAATGCTTAACTGTTGTTTTAAATTTAAATTTAAACATTCTTTTAGTATTTATATTAGTTATTATTAAGCTAATTAATAGGACTCTATTGAAGAGATTTATTTTCCTTCCTTTTGACTTTATGTTTACTAAATAGCTCTTTATATCTCTCAGTTGATGAAGTAAGATTTTTTCTTTCTTCTTTGTATGCATATTATTTCAGCATATCACATAATGATATTACATTTCTGCTAAATTACACACTTTTGTCCATTGTATAATGCTACTAGCAAACCAGTGGCAATGTACTGTGAATTTTAAAAAATCCAGTTTTTTGCCATCCTTCAAAAACATCCTCCCCCCCCACCTTCAAGATTTCATGGACCTCAAATACCACCATGTTTCCCTCTTCACTGGAAATAGTCCTTGCCACACCACCACCTCCCTACATGCTTTTCATCAATGTTCTGTTTGACACCTACATTGAGTGAGGTCATCTGTTGGTTCAGGATCAAGCATCATCAGTATAATATCCTATTATACATACATCTTGATCCTAGGCTGACCAAATGATGCTGTTGTTGAATTGGGGTTGTACTTCCCCATTCAAGACTGGTGTGCAATGTGGCAGTTGTTTGGGCTAATTTTTTGCAGACTAGATCTGACTGTCCTACCTTTAACTAATCACAGGTAGCCTGCATACAACTATCTGAATGTTGTGCATAAGACCTATTTCACTAATACATGGTTTTCTTGTAGCTTCTTTGCTGACTTCTGCTATTTAAAGGTGTCCCCTCTGAATATTATAGCTATTGTTTCTTTGCTAAACAACTACTTTTTCTGCCATCCTTGTAGAATATGTATAGATCTTGTCATTATATTATTAAGTGGGTATAAAGCCTAGGTTCACTGTGCATGGGATTCATCTCATTTGATATGGGGATCCTGCTGGAAGAATTCCAAAGGCATTATCTGTGTATGTATGTCTTCTGGTAATATCTCTGTAATATCTCCGCTAAGAGGTACCCATGATCTCGCTTAAGACAAGAGCACGGTTTGTTTTAGTTGTTATCCAGAAAACAGTTTTTAGAAAGGTGATTTGTACTGCATGAAATTGTGTTTGTATGCATTATTGTGTTTGTATCTACTGTGTGTATAGTGCTGTCACCTGACAAATGAAGAATTAAACATATCTTTCAGAATATTTTCATAGAAAGTGAGAATATTTTTTTCTTCCTCATTTTCTCACCAGGTGTCAGGATGAATGTCCAGTTGGAACTTTTGGAATACAGTGTGCAGAGATCTGCCAATGCATGAATGGTGGAAAATGCTATCATGTTAGCGGCGAATGTCTTTGTGAGCCAGGATTTACAGGAGAACACTGTGAAACAAGGCTGTGTGCTGAAGTAGTCTATGGTCTTAAATGTGACAAAAGATGTCCCTGTCATTTGCCAAATACTCACAGGTACTTTAGAAAGACATTTTTCTTATATCTGGAATCAAATCTTGTTTGCCAGCTAGTCTTGGGCAATGTTTTTCATTAGTTATTTATAGTGATCTTGTAATGTCACTCAGCTATTGCTGTTGTGACAAATCACTAACACAGGCAAACTTTATATTGCCACAGCAATAGCTATATAACACAGTGAATTACTAGTGAGGATATGAGGGGAGATATAAGAATATGAGAAAGTATCTGTTTTTCCTGATATCCTGACATTGCAATTGTAATAACAGTTGTTCACAAGGATAAAGAACCATAGCTTCCATTCTATAAATATTAGTACCTAAAAAAAATGTTGATTTTTGCCATGTGTTTCTTGTAGAAAAAACACCCCACTAAGAATGTAGGTTTCATGTTCATTTGATCTACTAATGAAAACAAAACCTCAATTTTCTTGTTTTCCCAGCAGAGCTTTCGAAGCTATTACTCAAATTAGGACAATAGACAAAATTAGGTAAATAGATGTATTAGGCTACAGTTGGAAATAAATGAAACAATTTTATTTTATAACTTCCAGTTCAGTGGAAGCTGGATCTGGTTCTAAAAAAATCATAGAACACCACTTTGGACACAGAAGCTGACACACACGTACAGCTAGGCTGTCTGGGTCGAAGCTAACATATAAGATGTAATGTATAGATATTTTGAGTTTGATTATTATTACAGCAGTTTCGCTAGTCATTTATTCATAAATTGAACCATGCATTATTTGCTTAATTAGAGATCTTTAGCTGAACATTGGCAGAGAAACTCCTGAAGAAATGCCTCCTTCATTCTCTGACATTATTGTTCATGAAGACTATATATTTAAAAATTCCAAGTGCTTGTTGTGTTCAGTGCTAGAGTTGAAAGCCAGCAACATTTCCGTTAACTTTTCTATTCAGTGGTATGTTCACTCTTTTTCCATTTCTTATTCTTGAATAACAACGTTCAGTAAGTAGTAGCTGGGCTGGAATGTTTATCAAGTCCCTTGTACACTGTATGTAGAAATTAGGATTAGTTAACATTTTAGAAAATTAACTAAATTTGTAGTAGACATTTTAAATTGACAAGAATGTACAGCTCAACATTATATAGCATTTCTGATATTTCAAGGATTAAGTTTGATTCATGTTCAACACAGCTGTTCATTTATGAAAGAAAGCTTGTGGTCAAGTCAGACTAAAAATGTTCTGATTCCAATAGAAGCACATGATTATTTTTGAATGTGTTTTTAACATGTATTCCTTTCTGTAACAAATTGAATGAATTTAGCAGTGATATGGGTGTAATAGCACTGTATTATTCATTTTAGAATTCAGAAGAGCAAACTGTTTAATTGGCATTAAAGATATTTAGCTTATAGCATAGGTGAAAAATTGTTTGCATGTATTTAGATGTATGTGTGTGTGTGTGTCAACACAAACAGCAAAAAATGTCAGAGACAATGACAAAAATTAATTAATTCTGCAGATATATTAAGATTTAAGTTATGATACTGAAGTTCTGATTTTTCAGTTATAGTCAAGAGGGCTTTTCTTATTGTACACATATCATCAAAGTAAACAAGCCCATGTGTACACACACATACACACACACAAACATTAGGCCTAGGATCTGAAGCTAAGTGAAAACTTTTCAAAAATGTGGTCACCATGAGTGTGTTGTGGCTATACCTGGAAAAATGTAAACACTAACAGTTTGAATGCCCTGACTTTCTTTACATTTCACATTTCTGTATGGACAATTGTTGATTAAATATAGATGTCAGTCTGATCTTCATGAAAGCTAATTTCCTAAGATTTATTTTAAAAAGAGTTAGGTATGTATGTGAATAGGGATACAAAATATTAGTGTCATAATTTGGCTTCAGCTCCACTGTAAGTGCATTCCATTGCTCTCTCTCTCTCACATACACACCAAAACAAGAAGAAGGGAAAATGGAGGTAGAAAGCAGTTTTCTAAAATAATCATACTTTTTGTTGTTTGTTTATTGGTTTCTTTTGCTATAATGTTGCCCATGGTTGGCAGACCTAAAATATCTTCCTGAAGTACACTCATTGATTATTACTTATTTCCAAAGAACTGTCATGGGTTACTATATCATTTTTCACTGCTCTAAATAACATAGAATATTTTTTCCTTATTTTTAAAGGCAAAATAAAAAGTGATTAAGATTAAAAAGCATGATTCTGAAGCCCGTGTGTGCTGCCCTTGAAAGCTGTTCAATGGAGCGCTTCCAAGCATCCTTTGCTTTACCTTCAGAGGGAGAAGAAAAAGGATGACTGAAACCAGCTTCCTAGGAGCCAGCTCTGAATAGTTCTCCCTGCTAAAAGCACCTTTAAGTGCTGGCTCCAGGGAAGAGCCCTTCAAAGCACTTCTGCCTGGGAGCGAGATTATGTCTGCACAAGTGAGACATGGGTGTTAGTGCTGGCTCAGTGACATCATCTCTTGTGCTGAAGTGGTGCTTGGGAAAAATTTGGCCTTGACCCAGTTGAGTTCTTCTGGTTTAGAAAATAACTAAAAGCAGAGAAATAATTTGCAAAATCCTATTTCGTTAGTGAAGCATTATTATCCCAAATAGTAGTCAGATTTTGATTAAATTTCTGACTGAGCTTTGGAAACTAAAATATACTTTGTCAATGCAATATAATTGAATATGTTACTAATTACTAGAGCTATATCTTCTCTAGAAAATATGAATGAAAGCAACATTCCCCAAGTGAGATCAAATGAAGCTGGATTGTTTCATTGGTTTGCCTAGTGTGTGCCTAATTTACTGCTTGTGCCACAATGAAAGTTGAGACATTTTTTAAAAATAATAACATAAATAGAAATAAATTTTAATTTGCCCTTTCCTTCTCAAATATTTCAAACATAGAAGAATTAGAAAAACCATTGCCCTTTTGATTTTCCATGTATTTTTTTGAAAACATGCTTTACACACACAGACAGACAGACACGTTTCTTTTGTAAGAAAAGTGATATCTTGGGGACAGATTTAATAACAGGGATAAAGAACAGCAAACTCTAAGGAATTCTACTGGCAAAAATCAGTAAGGGGCATTGAACAGAGGTCTTTTTTTTTTTTTAAACATAGAAAGGATGCACTCTTCTGTCATCCTTCATTTAATATGTGTTGACTTGAGTACATTTCCCCCCTTTCGAATGCCTTAGGGAATATTACTTCAATCAGTGATCAGTCATCTTTAAACAGGCTGCCTATTGTAAACATAATTGATCTGGATATTAAGGCTTTCTTTTGGTGAGAGTTAAGCTAAGTGCTTTTCCTGCCAGAGGACCACAGAGCGCTCCTTGTGTTCACTGCCTTGGCACATATATTTTAGCACAGCTGATGGTTCCATTTGTTGCAAGATAACAGCTGTGTGGTTGCCCATTGAATAAAACTGCTGTTTTCAGGTAGGAGCAGATGGTCTGACACCAGGTATGGAAACTAAACTATCCACATTCTCGAAGGCTGTAAGAGTGCCCTTGACCTTTCCCCTGTAAAGCAATTTGGCACTGCTTCTAAGTAAAAAAAAAAAAAAAAAAGTTGCATACTAAACACCTACCAGAATAGGTTCATGCAGGGTCAAATTATATATCTGTTAAATAGACTTTGGTTTAAATTTTTAGGAAAATGAATAAATGCTGGGGACTGATAGTTACAGGCTTGCAGCTGATATAAAAGGTATTAACCTTGTTTGTTGCAGTCCTGAGAAAGATCCTGTCCTTGAAGCTAGTTTTTTTCAGGAAGTACATGGTATAGTTGCTAAAGTGTTAGCCAAGGCTAAAGAGGTTGAAATCCATCCTTAGTCTTGGAAGTGCCCCAAGAGACTTTCAGGCTAGTCACACTCTTCGTCCAATCTACTTCATGGATTTTTGTGGGAAAAAATTGGACAAGAGAGTTCGATATATGCTGCCTCAAGGAAAGGCAGGATAGAAATACATACATACATACATTTAACCTTAAATACTAATTTTCCTGAATATAGTGTGAGATCACTCATAGAGGTGATCTAATGATTTATTGTATTTCAGTAGGGTTTGAAAAAATTGTTACTATTTTAAACAATCAGAATACAAATTATGTTCCTGATCTTCATGATAGCCTATTTTCTTTGTTTCTGCAGTTCCAAGGTAATGAAGTATTGAAACAATTAGGTTTTCATTTGATCTTATAGAATATCACTACATATTTGGATAATACCTGTCATATTTCATCCCAAAACTTAATTATAAATGTATTCATAATTATGCCTAAGTGATAGTTTTCCTCAGCACAGATTTTATTTTAAAGCATAAAATATGTAGATGCTGTTATTATTGGTAGAGTGTTATTACTGCAGTAGGTTAATATTAGACTGTATGGTCCTCTATCCCCCCCCCCCCCCCCCCCCCCCCCCCCCCCC